GGAAGCGGAACAGGCACCATCATACCTTTTCTCCAACCAGTAGATTTCACCCGCTCCTGCTCCACAACTGTACCACCCGTTACGAAACTTCGTATCACACAATTGACTGCACGTCCTCAGCGGCGCCGCAGCGCCTCCAGCCGCTCGCGCAGCTTCTTCTCCTCATGATCATCCACATCAGCATATTGAATATCCATCATAGCTCCATCCCTCGCCATCGCCATGAGGCGTTCCACCTCACTCTCCTCACCTTCCTTCGCATGCGCAGTGTTACCTGTCCGGTGTAGCGCGTTCTGCGCACCGCCCAGAAAATCCACCGGGCGCTGCACGCGCCCAAAACCGAGAGAGGAAATGTCGGAGCTGTTGCAGACAACCTGCGGCCCGCTACTCGTCATCACGATACCACCAGCAGTGGCGGTTTTTTGTGTTGCGGTGCCCGGCGGAGCCTGTGGGTGGGGCTCCTCATCAGCAAGGCGGGCTTGCAGACGCTCTACCCGCTCGCGGTGCTCCGCGGCGCGGTTGTCCTTCCTCGCCTTTTCAAGCGCCTCCAGAGCCGAGGTGTGGGCAGCGCGGGCGAAATCAAGTTCGCTTCGCAACGCCAAAATGGTCTCCTGCTGGGACTCGTTCTTCTGTTTCACGCTTGCGAGTTGCTGCATCTCGTTACGGAGCTTCACCGCCTCGGCATTGCGCTGCTTGAGCTCGTTCTCGAGTGCTGCAACCTTGGTGCGAAGAGCCTTGTTCTCCTCCTCGAGGGCATTCACCGACATGCCACCTTTTTTTCTTTCTGTGATTTAGTTTTAGAAGTTCGAAGAGGAAGCAAACAGCAACAATACGACAGCAATAGTGAGGGTGGGTGTATATATATATATATATATATATNGGGGGGGGGAGGGAAAGAGATTGGTGCTAACTTACTGTCATACTTCCAATCCGCTGCATTTTTTTTTATTCTTCTTCTTCTTGGGGTGGTGGTGGTGGGGCAGCGCAATGAATCTGCTCCCAGGTTAGCCTCCGCCCTTCATCCTGCACTTACTCACATGGGCGCAGTTCCCCATTTCCATACTGCTGGCGCCGTCCTCGTGTGGGGGCCCCAAGGAAAAAAAAAAAGTTTGAAGCGGAAGGGTGGGGAGACCTCTCTCTCACACACACACACACGCACACAGACACTCAGTTTGCTTGACTCGTCATCTGCCCATCCCTGTAAAACGTATCCGGCCACGTTTCGCCACCCAGCCCGCTCTCAGCTCTGTTGAAACGCGTGCGCGTTTGTTTTGTGTTTGGGTGTGCGTAGGTGTAACAATGCAAAAGGAAGAAACCAAAAACGCTTTCTCCGGATAGGTGCTTATGACAGAGGGAAATGTAACGGTGAGGTTATACTCAAGAGTACCGAAGCCAAGTTAGGAGGCTTTTTTTCTTCTTATTCCTCCCGCCGTGAAGGATGGGGACACGCGTTGTTACTCTCGCTGCTGTTGCTGCTTTCTCCACTCGGTACCTGCACGCCCCCCGCAGTCCGCACCCCATCCTCCACCTTTGGAGTCTTCATAGATCTGCTGGTTGGACCTGATGACTCCGCCGCAGCGCACCGACGCGCACGCTCCTCCGCAAGTCTGCGCATAATCGCCGCTGTGCGTTCAGCCGTACTCAGCTCAGAGGTATTTGTAGGCCGAACTTTTTCACCACTAGTTGTAACGGCAGCTGGTGAAGCTTTTTCTGCCCACCTCTGAGACCAGCACTCCACCGCACCACTTTTAATCTCATTCCCACCACTACCACTAGCTCCTCCAATGCGAGCAACAGGAAGAGATGGCAATACATTGCTTTGATTTGCTCGGTACTGCTGCAAATCCACTTCCCTTTTGGTAGAATCCTCATCGGTTAGTTGTACAACCTCATCATCACGGGATGCAGGCCCTGTAACGCCTGTAGGGTGCGACATCAAAGGGGTTGTGGGACGCAACCTGCTTTGAAGCGGTGTGGTGACAGCAGCAAGTACAGAGCTTTGTGTCTGATGTTGTTCCTCGGCTTGTTGAAGAAGGGTGGTAAGTTGACCGCAGCGTTCCTCTAGCTGTTCTTTCATCATCCGAGCCCGCAAGTGGGTCTGTATAAGAGTCAGCTGCTCTCGCTGTGACTCGATCGTTCTGCTCTGTTCGCTGAGCAACAGCTGCTCTACATGTATCTGATGTTGTTGCGTGACAACTTGACTCTTGTGATTTCGCACAAGTTCTTCTTGATGCTTGATTTGTCGGCCCTGCATCTCGAGCTGCGCCCGCTGCGCCTCAATGATTTGCTGCATGGTACGAAGCTTCTCTTCATATGTGTGAATGCGCTCCTTTTGACTTTGGAGAAGCGCACTCTGCACATCATTCTGCTCCTTGTGCTTGCGAAGGAGATTGTTATAAAGCTCCGACTGCGTCCGGAGCGCTGTGAGGCGACCGTACAGACTTTCAAGCTCCTCCGCCTCAGGAAACAACTCGCGAAAAGTCTTGAGATTTTTCGCCTGCTCGTATCGTTTTTGGAAATCTCGGAGGCCCCACTCACGCTGGCGGATCTTTTTGAGCTCCAAACCCACAAAGGTGTCAGGATACTGATCCGCGCCGCCGCCATCCTTAGACTTTTGTTCTTGCTGGTGCTCTCCACCCCCGTCGCATCGCCCCTCGTCTTCCTTCCGCTCTCTCTTTTGGTGGGGTTCGTGAACGCCCTCGACATTCCCTTCATCCGCCTGCGCCACACTCCTATACTCCACCGTGTCTTCTGTCGGTGTTAGTGGTGAGGCGCTCTCGCACGTTTTGCGCACGAACAGGAAACCAAGTCCGAGGTGACAGTCCGAGCACTCCAGCCGCCCGCGGCAGTCGTAGGCCTCGAACCACGGGCACCGTGCCGTCTTAGTGCGGCGCCGCACCTGGATGTATGCCTCTTCCACAACGAGGTTGCCGGGATGCGTCGACCACTGTGTGGGCGGCGGTGGACGGTGCGCCGCCTCAACAATGGAGTGCGGCACGCGGGAATGCGGTGCATTGTCGTTGGTGTTGCTGTTCTCAGCGTCACCCTGTGAGCTCGACGAGGGTGGTGCTGGTGGCACGCCGGCGCTGCGATCTTTAGTGCATAACACAAGGCCGCCCAACTGAACGTCCTCCTTGACACAGATTAAGTCCACACGGCACTCTTTCACTCCACCGAAGCGCGCTAACGACCGAAGCACATGTTCATTGATACTGTTGTTTAAAGAGACCTGCTCCGGTTGTGTCGGGTTCGCCTCGCTTTGGTCATTTTCCTCCTCGACGGTCCCTGTGTCAACGGTGGTGTCACCACTCATGAAGGATGTGCCTCCAGAATGAGCTGTGTCACGATCACTTCCCCCTGGTGCATGTGCTACCCCACCAGCGTCCGGCGACACCTCTTGCTGCGGTCGCTGCAGGCGTTGCGACTCTACAACAGCCTCTAATGCTAGAAGCCGTGCTGCCGGCGGCAATGGTGCTGTGAGTATTTTCTCTGAGACAACAACACTCACTTCGGCCACTTCATCGCCACTGTAGCACGGCACGGAGACTTCCAGATTCAGCAGGTCTTCTAGATTGTACACAAAGGCATTCTCCGTTGTCCCTTTAGCCACAGCTGTCATGAGGAGGTCATCACGGGAGCAGATGGGATGCTCGCACCTGGAACAGACCAAGCATAGTGTGGTTGCCATTCACTACGCGAGGTATATTGAAAGCAGAGTAAGTACGAATTATTGTGTTCAATGAAAACGAATGTTCTACAGTGGGTAGGTATATGTGTGCGTGCGTGCGTCCGTGAATACTAGTCGAAAAACGTTTCTTTTCTTCTTCCTTTCCTTGTATGGGCGTACTGCTCGGACCTTACAGTCTCGTGGCTTCCCTCTTCTTGCTGAGATCCGTGTTTGAGTTTCCCTCTGATGAGGCCAGCAACATGAATCATTGTGACAAAAGGAGAGAGAAGAGAAGGAGGGGAAGAGAAGGGCAGGGGTTACGAGAGAGAATGGAGGAGCGGCAAGGCAGAGGTGTGCCATAAACAGTGAGGATACTCCCCAACTTCGCTCATTCTTGATAACGCTGACGCTGCTTCATCTCCGCAAGCACAACCATGGGCACAGACACCCATGAAGAGGCAGAAACACACATGCACGCCCGCACGTCCACACAGCGAGTGGAGGCGAAAGAGAACGGGAGGAAGAGAAAGACACAGATGAAGCCACACGGGCGCATTAACAGCCGCATAATCCTTCCGTCACCCCGCTTTCCGTTGGGCAGATTTACCGTTTCTTCTTCGAGTGATTCATGCGTACCTCATCATCAGTGTCACTGCACGTCGTTCCGTCCGCCCGCATCACACAGTGCCACTCTGCCGTATCCGCCGGTATCTTCTCCGGCACGATGCGCCACTTGCTGCACAAGTCGCAGCACACCCAATGAATGACATCTCCTTTCTTTTTCTTGGTAGGGGCGGTGGTGTCGCTGTTCCCCGCGTTACGGGGCGGTCGACCACGACGGCGCACACCGAAATCATTTGCCACTGAGCTGTTCTTGTTGGTTTTCTTCTCTTCTACGGCGTCCGGTGCCGAGTCGTGTCGCGTACGTTTTCGTCCCCTCGTTTCCTTCGATGAATTCACAACAAATGGCTCTTCCACCACCGGTGTTACGGCCGCTGCTGCTGTTGTTGTTGTTAATGGTGATGGTGGTGGTTGTGGCAACGGTGCTGGTACCACTTCTGGCTCTTCCCTCTTCATAGAGTTGCCGTTTCTCCAGTCGTTGTGGCTGCTCGTGCCGTCCACCGCGCCATGCGGCTCCGTAGCAGTCTCTAGTTTCACAGCGGCCGGGGGTTGTGGCGGCGCGTTGTGGCGCGTGACAGTGTCTGCCGGCCACCGCGGGGACACAACTTGCGCGGAAGTGCATGGCTGGGCCACGCCCGCATTCG